GTATCACGCGTGGTAGTTGATATAAATTATGGCGATACGACGCGTGGTAATATAACGCGTGGTGATATAACGCGTGGCGATATATCGCGTGGTAATGTAACGCGTGGTAATGTAAAGCGTGGTAATATAACGCGTGGTACTATAGCGCGTGGCGATATAACGCGTGGTAATATAGCGCGTAGCGATATAACGCGTGGTGATATAACGTGTGGCAATATAACGCACAGAGATCCAAGGCGTAGCTATATAGTCACGTGACAGTATTTGACACCGTGTGACAATATAACGAGCGTCTACTGTAGCAATAAAAGTGGGCACGTGTTCTCGTCGGCTATCGTCATAGACAAGAACGAAACGGAGCAGCTGGCAGAGATTTCATTAATTAAGCGCTCGTTGCTTCCACAACGCCGCTTCGAGCGTAATTGAATCAGCCGTGGCAAAGCGTTTCGTAGCATCGTCCTATCAAACAAAGATTAAACTGCGTCGGGGAGCTCGTTCGATTGGGATTCGATTCGAGACTAACCACCAGATCAGACTAAATTAGAAAAGTCTAGCATTTTTTTGCATCGTTTGAATTGCACGCTAAATCGAGTAATCGTTCCGAGGTAAATATAACAAGGGCCGTGTTCTTTTCTCGTTCACCGACGATTTCCGCGTGTGTTTCATCGACCGGTTGTTCCCCTATTTGTTTCACCCCGATATCGGCTATTTTCAGTTTCCTACGCGCCTTGAGTTGCGCAGTTTTTGGTCAATAAAAAAATCACGGCACAAGAACGTGGATACAGTCACGAGAAAACGTGAGTTCCCGTACAATCTTGCCAAACACAGCTTCTAAAGGAAAAACACGGAGCGGGTAACTAGAAAATTTCGAAATTGCTCAAGCGGAAAGATTCTTACGCGAGCGTTCGAAAAAAACACAGAAGAAAGAGACAGAAGATTTTTACTTCGCATTCTGGAGCGTTTCATTGTCCTCGTTGTCGGAATTATAAATGCTGAGCCCCAAGAGCACGGATAGCTTGAACCAAAAAAAAAATGTCAGCGCCAGAAAGGGAGGGAAGTTAGGACCATTCTTGAACTTCCTCGCGAAGAGCGTGGGAAAAAAGATTTGTTGGCGTATGCTGCCACGAAAGCCACGTTTACACCTGGCCCTGCTTTCTTGACACAGTGTCGGCTCCTGTTCCAACCTTTCGACCTAACCCACCCGTAATTTCTATATCATTCGAGGATTTTCATATTCTACGCTCGACGTCGACTCCTAACGTTACACGGGATGTGATTGCACGTGTTGGAGCGTGATAAAAATGTGATAATGATTGAGCGATATAAGAGCTTTATCTCGTCGCGATAATCTTGCACTTTACACGGTACGGATAGAGAGAATTGTTAACGTATGAACGTGGTGATTGCTATCGATTTTGATATTTTATTATATATATTCATTCGGGTATATTGGGAGAAAATCTTCCAGACGGGTTCTTTGAAGAAAATAAAATACATACATACATATATATTCATTTGAATGCGTACATTATTTTAATGTATATATTATAACATTTAAAGTGTACATTATTTTATTGTATGCATTAAAATATTTCAAGTATACATTATTTTATTATATACATTATAATATTTAAGGTATACATTATTTTATTACATACATTATAATATTTAAAGTATACATTGTTTTATTGTATACATTATAATATTTAAAGTATACATTATCTTATTACATACATTATAATATTTAAAGTATACATTATTTTATTACATACATTATAATATTTAAAGTATACATTATTTTATTACATACATTATAATATTTAAAGTATACATTATTTTATTACATACATTATAATATTTAAAGTATACATTATTTTATTACATACATTATAATATTTAAAGTATACATTATTTTATTACATACATTATAATATTTAAAGTATACATTATTTTATTACATACATTATAATATTTAAAGTTTACATTATTTTAATGTATACATTATAATATTTAAAGTATACATTATTTTATTACATACATTATAATATTTAAAGTATACATTATCTTATTACATACATTAAAATATTTAAAGTATACATTATTTTATACATTATACATGATACATGAATTTTAGGTTACACATTATACATGAAAAAGGTTATTCCGATAATTTGAATGAAGCCTTCTATTTTTAAATTAAAATCGAGTGATATTTAACCGTTGTGTGCATAGAGGAAAGTAAAAGCGAAAAAATGTGAAAAGTTATGAAATTCTTCTGGATGAAATTCCAAGGAAAGAGTTTAAAGTTATTACAGCAATCATAGTTGTTACTATCAAGCACTTCGTGGTTCCCATACGCCACAAAGGCATTCGTGAAGTATGAAATTCTTTGAGATCCATCAGCTTGAGTCACGAGAACAAGTGCATTCGCGTTCTCAGGTTCTTACATATTCTGGGAAGATCATGTATACAAGGTTTGAATAACTCGAAAACTATTTGTGCGTGGCAACCGTGCAGGTACGAAATTGTTCCAACAGGTTCCATCGAGAAGTGTAATTCTTCTCGGAGTAGATAAGTACCCTGCGAGGTCGTAGGATGTCGATGATACTTGCTGCGCACGGGATCGCGTGATTTCACGTGGAAATCTGTATTGTAAAGAAAATTATACGGATAATAGAAAGAATGCGACAGGAAAATTGCTTCGATGCGAACGATTCAATTGTCCTCGGATTGTGAAATTTAGTATTTTGCGATATACCACTGACTCAAAATTTTAAGTCGTGAAACTCTTAACATTATATAACTGTCACTAACGTTATCCGCTGATAATTTTCAAAATTTCACAAGTGAAATCGAAGAACATTAATAAAATATAAGAATTGCCATGTCACTGATAGCAACTCTATTACTGCTTTCCCACGCAAACACCTCCGCGATATTAATGGGGGAAAGCCTGTCGTAAGATAATATCTATGAAAAAGATGTTCGTGCATACGAGTCGAGAAATTGTAGCATAAAAGCCTGGAAGTAATTTGTAACTCATCCAGTTTTTTTGTTGTCGTTACAGGCCTCGTAGCATGTCTTGACGAGTAGGAGGTGCTCTTCAACGGGGTTTTCGGCAGACAAGGGTTCTCCAAAATGGCGGGCGGTCCGCAGCTTCCGGAACAGTACATGGTACCTCAGCTCGCTAGGTTCTTTCACAGCCTGCCGCACCTCAACGTCTCGCTTCATTCGGTTAACAACACCTTTAATCCACATTCCGAAATCTATCTAGAGGTAAGTCTATCTTTTAAGAGTATTTCTAAACATTCGGTGCATTCACGTACAAGAATTCGACCATCCGCATACTTTATGCCTTTATAAAGCGTTATGAAAAAGCCTGCGTATATTAAACTATCTCTGTAGCTCAGGTTATATAAATAAAATGTTACTTCTGCGATGAAAAATATTTTAACACAAGAGTTATATTCAGCGAGATAGATTTTGTTTTCGTTTCTGTCTACCGAAAACTCCAGATGCAGCGAAATAAAACTCTCTCTTATCTACTTTCTCGTACAGGCATCTAATTATCTCGGAGATAACACGATTATTCTATTCCTCTGTCACTTTCCTCGCAAGGTTTGAAAACGGTAAAGTCACGGTGAGTCGGAAGAAGGATCCCAGACATCGAGGCATAGTTCTCTTCCTGCCAAGAGTATTCCTGTCTGTCCTTGTTCCTCCCGACTGTCCAGAAGGCAGCGAAAGCTGCATCGAGAAGAGAATCATATGGATTCTTCGTGGCAAAGTATAGCGAAAGAAGAGCAGTGTAAGAGAGAGACGAGATACGAGGAGGAAACAGGACGAAGCAGAAACGCAGCTGGATGCCACGAGTGCACGAGAATCCAAGCTGTGTGTAACTGGAAAGCACAATGGTCCGGGAAAGCTCAAACAATGCACAAAGGCTTTCGTATAATGCGCCCAGGGCAACGTGTGGGCTTCAACGGGCTCGAAACGTTGGACCGCTAACTAGTGATGGGCTCAACATGCTCCCGGTCAATTTTCAAAGATACAAGGGATTGGTCAATGACCTTACGATTATCACAAAAATTAGGTCATAGAGGGTTGTATACTATTAGGTATATAGAAAGTTTCACAAATGTATGTTAACCTCTTAACCTACGATATACGCTCGAGAATTTTTGGCCGGAAACGTAATGTTTATGTTTGACTCGTTCATTGTTCACGGGCTATGCCCGTAATATTTACGTTTAGCCCGATCATCGTATACGGGCTATGCTCGTAGTTGTAGGTTAAGGGGTTAAAGGTGACTTGTCTTTCTGACTGTGTACATATACTTACTGTACTTGTGTTTCTGTATAGCTGAATTTCTGGGTATCCACTTAGTATTTACATTGCATTGTAATTTACTTCTTAGAGTTCCTATATTATTGGGTATCTGCATATATTTTAAGGTATACTTCAAGTATACCTTAAGCTACCTTCCAGTGTATTTATATTTTGTACAGATACGTAATGTCTGACATTCTACCGCATCTGTATTCTACGGTATTTTAAGATACCTACATTCTAGACACATCACAAGATGTCTTCCGTGATCTACATTTCCTGGTACCATGATATATTCAACAGTCTATCAATTTGACTTCGTGGCAGTGTTTTAGCATTCCCGTTTTCGTAGTTAAATATATTTTCCCACGAGTAACCTAATATAGTAGAACAATATTATCGATACTAGTCTCTCCCCATCGCTACGAGCTTCCCTTCCCCTCTGCTTCTTAGCCGTCTCCGCTAACAGTATCGTGCTTCTCGTAGTTCTTAACGAGAGAAGCACGATCGCCTTAGGCAACGTCTTTCGTTGCAGATGTCGAGTGTACGGGAACTTATTACTTACTATAAAATTGAGATAGATCTCGTTGTTTTCGATTGTCGTTCCCTCACTGTTGAGCCTGAAAAAGTATACACCGGCACCGAACAAGCTTAATCTTTTTATTTCGCGGCGCAAATGGTCGTCTTGTAATTACCCGGCAGGTGCAGAATACCGAGAGAAGAAGAGGAAAATGCAGCACGTGTTTTAGTAAGATTAATGGCGCTTTGTATAGATACTCTCTAGTGTAATATAGTATTTTTGTTAATTCCCTTCGGAAATTTTATCGACTTGTATTGTATTTCTTTTTCAAATCATTCCTATAAATTAGATTACAGGTTCTTTAAAAAACCTTTAACTCTCTTCGGAAGTTTTGATGTTTTTCTTTAAATTTCCTCGCGTTATATCGCCATAGATTGGAGACACTTATATTTTTAGTCCCCGTTGAATATTTTATTAATAACTGTTTTTGTTCAATATTCATTTGGTCTCGATATATGGCCTCATTCGATGAATATTCTTTTTTGAATTACCTCGAGTTATATCGCCATAGTCATTAAAAGCACTTATATCTTCGTTCTATATTTATTTGGTCACCTCTCGATATATGGCCTCATCCGATTAATAATAGCTACACCTTAATTAAGTCTCTATACACTTTTTTATCCCAAAAGAAGTTCCGTAAGAATTTACGCAAATGGTATCTGTTTGCGAGTGTGGTATCGATACCAATCGCGTCTCACGCCATTCAATTAGCGCGTTCTGAACAACGCTTCCTGTTTCCCGTTCTAGTTTCTTCTTATTCATGCGCTTTCAATCACTTCAGAGAAAACGGTTTCTCTCGCGCTACCGCGTCTCTTGTACAGTTTTTCCTCGTTTCTTCTTTTGTCAGTCACTTTGTTTTACTCCAACCCTAACCTCATCGTCGCTTTTTCTACCTCGGCCGACCGGTAGATGCTTCGTTTCTTCCTTTATCCCGGGCTGTTTAACTTTTTCTTTCTGTCTTATTACACGTTCCTCTGTAATCTCTATTTGCGGGGACACTTCATGCTTTATTTCTACCCGTTTTTGTCACTGGAAACGCGTGATCAAAGTTTTACTCCGTGCCGCAGCAGAAATGAATTGTCGCAAAAAATTTTATCGAACTTCTAAAACGTCGAGTCATCTCTCAAAAGTCACAGAGCAATTCGAGTTCGAACTTTTACATTCTTTCTAGCATTTACTCTAGTCGCTATAAACTAAAAATCAAAGTGCGCGTAAAGTCCAGAGATCGTAAGTTCGTGTCTCCTTCGAGGACCTCGCTTTTCGATTTTATTCCATTCTGCGACGGAAATTCGCCCGTGGTTGTTTACGATCGTACAGGGACCGGGAGAGGTGTGCAAAAGTTAGCAATGGCGTGCACACACGTCGGTAGGGTAGGCAGTCAGCGAAGGAGAAGCCTCGAGGAAACGCCTGTCTGAGCACCCTCGACGCAACACGAGCCCCGGTAATTGGGTCCCCAGCTATTGTTTCTGCTGCTTGAAAATATTTCACGGCGCGGCCGCTGCAACGGCACCGCTGGGTAATTAAATCGTGAGATTGCGTTTTGTCGTATCTGTCGTCGTTTGTTTTCTAACCTTCGATTTGGCTGTTCATTAACGATCCTTCTTCTATTTTCTGCTCCTACAATTTGCCATCTCATGTGATAGCTGGGGTCTCTCGTTATTTAGAGATACGGTGATTTAGGATCAAAGCTGACGTGCGTCGTAGGCGAATATCAGTAATTTCATTTTCATTTTGAATTTTCAAGGTGGGGATATAAGGATATAAGGATATAGGGATTTAGGAGAATGTGTAGGAGTATAGGTATGTGGTGTAAGGATTTAGGAGTGGAGGGACCTAGGAGTATGGGGATTTAGGAGGATGGGGATTTAGGAGGATGGGGATTTAGGAGTATAGGGATCTAGGAGTGTGGGGACTTAGGAGTATTGGGATTTAGGAGTGCAGGGATCTGGGAGTATGGGGATTTAGGAGGATGGGGATTTAGGAGGATGGGGATTTAGGAGTATGGGGATTTAGGAGGGTGGGGATTTAGGAGTATGGGGACCTAGGAGTATAGGGATCTAGGAGTGTGGGGACCTAGGAGTATTGGGATTTAGGAGTGTAGGGATTTAGGAGTGCAGGGATCTGGGAGTATGGGGATTTAGGAGGATGGGGATTTAGGAGTATAGGGATCTAGGAGTGTGGGGACCTAGGAGTATAGGGATCTAGGAGTGTGGGGACCTAGGAGTATAGGGATCTAGGAGTGCAGGGATCTGGGAATATGGGGATTTAGGAGTATAGGGATTTAGGAGTGTGGGGACCTAGGAGTATAGGGATTTAGGAGTGTAGGGATTTAGGAGTGTGGGGACCTAGGAGTATAGGGATCTAGGAGTATAGGGATCTAGGAGTATAGGGATCTAGGAGTGTAGGAACCTAGGAGTATGGGAATTTAGGAGTATAGGGACCTAGGAGTGTAGGGATCTAGGAGTATAGGGACCTAGGAATATAGGAATCTAGGAGTGTAGGGACCTAGGAGTACAGGAATCTAGGAGTGTGGAAATGTAGTAATATTGGAACCTAGAACTGTAGGGAAGTAGGAGTATAGGGGCGCAGGAGTTACAGCTACAGAAATATAGTTTAAAGACATATTACTCTAGAAATATAGAGGTCCAATTTATAGAAATCTAGAGACATGGAATTCTAATATAGAAATGTAAATCTATAATACATCTGTATACATTAAATTTAAGAATGTACAAATCTACGAGTACACCTAGAGTAGATCTACAAGTACATCTAAAGATATACCACTCTATAAGTATGAGAACTTCTATATAGAGATCTATAGATCAACTAAGCTATTATAATATAAACACATATTTTATTTGCACAGTAAAATAAATTAAACATACCGTTATTTTTAACGTTCCAACCCTAAACGCTACGGCACTGGGGCTAAAAGAGGGCGCCGCACTTAACAGGATTTAGCAAAGGTCTTAAACGAAATTAAGAAAAACACGAGTGCGACGACCCGGTTGTTTCTCGTTCATTCTATTTTCAGATTAGCATAACAAGCAGCTAATATGACACGATTTAATTACGCTGTCGCAATTTAAAGAATTAGCATACCGTGCGGGATTAAGGCGATGTACGTGCAAATGGGGAGTGTTACCGATCGTGTGATTAACCGTCAGTCAAATGTACCGTGATTAATTTAAACGAAAATTAGTCTTGTAGTAAAGGGAATCAAACTTTTCCGCTCTAGCGTTATTTAGTCATCGAAATTTATAATCTTTTGTCACGAGGTTTGTACAATAGAGCAAACACCGGCCATCGTTTGTTAGCGTGATTTACGTCCCGCGATGTGTGTACTTTATGCCGGCAACGTGGT